TTTAAGTCAACATATATTATTTGACAGAAAAATTGGTTTGGTTCCATGAGTCAATAGCAACAATGTGGAAAGAATTTCCTTGCATAACCGCTGATTTCAAATTTGAGTTTTATGTATATGTACTCAAAAAATAAATCACATTACCAATGGAAAATATCCATTAGAATTTCAAATAACTTTCATGTGATCTCATAATTGGGAATCGCACTACAAAATCACATGAACCTTATGTGTCCAATGGAATTTATGTGAATTATCACATAGAATTCTTGTGATCATATGAATCTTATGTGAATTTCAGATAAAAATCATTAATTTTGTTATTGGAAAAATAACATGTGCGTTCCCAATAGAAACTAAACTAAAGCTTTTTTCGGTGAGAGCATTCTTCAAAATTAATTTATTTGTCATAACATTTTCTCGAGATTTGAAACTATATGTCTCATAAAAATATATAATTCTGCAAGAGATTTTTCTAGATTAATATTTAGAGAGTACAGCCCAAGTAGCATTGCAAGTTTTATTGAGGATTTAATACATGCTGCATGTTTAAATCGTGGTCTACAGAACCCTCATTAAACAAAAAATGTTTCTTGGGAGTTCAACTATTCAATCGGATTTATGTAGATGCATAAAACGTGCAGCGGTCCTTTTTTTAGTTACTTGGGTCACGTTCTCGAATGTCTGATGTTGCATGTCGTCGACTTCTAATGGCATCAACGATAGTAGAACCAACCGGTGGAAACTAACGACTAAATTGGCTCACTACTTGACTAGCGTATTGGTCTTAAGTACATCTACATATAAGCGTACGGTTGAACTCAGTAATCGGGAATCAGTATTTAGAAAACAAATGTTACGTTGAAAATGAAAAATCGGGATTTGAACCGGTGATTTTAGGGGTTCGAGCTGCACCCCTAAATTTTACGCTAACCCTACTCGACACCACTGTGTGTACCTATGTGCTTCTTAGTTCATGTTAGTGCATCTAATGCATGATGGCAACTGGCTGCGGAACAAGAAGAACAGAAGCGAAACACAATAATCGCACCCAAACAAAGAACCATTAACTACACGATTGAAAAGAAGCGACGAAGTCTTCAAGGTCGCCATAAAGTGAGTCATAATTAAATTCGTACAGCAGTTAGTACACAGTGGTCGATGATGGATATAAGTATTAATCATCAATTGTCTACTTTGAACGATTCCTTGGGATTTGAGATTTTTCCGGAATGGTGTTAACAATGTGATTATTTTGTTTCAAATCCATATTCTATTTGTGAAGCGTGAAACACCTGCTTCTTCTTCCTGACATTGACCCTTTTACACGAGCTTGTGCCTACTCTAAACTCAGCGTTCTTAAAAGCACTTCCACTGATATTAATTGATAGCTTTCTTTGCCAGAAATGCACAATTGGATTTTTCAATTAAAGGCATTTAATTCAATATATCCAGATTTTTATGAGGAATTGAATGCCTAGGTGGCTGTTCTCAATGACTCATACCATTTCTAAATGGAAAACGCGGAGGAATCGAATGGTTCTGGTAAAAATGCGGAAAGATGGGGTTTCAGTGAGTTTTGTTCCCAAAGTCCCATATTTGATCATTAAATGGCTTACATTTATAACTCCTGATAACATCAATTTGTTGCATACGATTATGAAGCATGAATTTAGCTATCAAATGAAATTGGATTTGTAAAAAATATTTACTATGTACAATTGGTCATTACACCACTAGGGTAAAACCCTTATCTTCGCTCCCCGAAACCGATTCGTGCCGTAAACAACCACCTAGGCATTCAATTCTTCTTTAGAAGACGTGACTAGAGATTTTTATGCCTTAGAAAAATCCCATCGACCTCAGCTGGGATTGAACTCAGACACACTGGGGTGAGAAGCAGTCACGTTTACCACTACACCACAGTGCTGGCTTGTTCCCAATTTTTGCTACGTTTGAAGTAAGCGATCGAGTTTTACTTTAGATACGGGATAAACAAATAAACTTGTTGAACCCGAAGTGCTTCTAACTAGAATTGTACTTGTAGCTTGAGCTTGAGCTTGAGCTTGATTGACCATCCACGGTTGCTACTCTGTTACTGCCAGATCAGCTGTAATTACACAGAGAACCAATAGACGATGCTTGGGACTAGCAATCATCCTCAATGTGTAAGAACTGGTGATCTTAAATTAGGCAATACCAGCGCTGGCCGCACCCGAACACAGGTCAAGAAAGGAATGGGAAGGATTGTGTTGACATGACACTCGCTTTGATGGAAGCCAAGAACACCTCTGCACTTCCACGAGGAATCACTGGGATGTTGGATAAGAGGGTTGGGTTTACAGCAGGGTTCGTTTTGGTAAACGATAAGCTGAATTGATGTCTTAACGATCATATAACGCGAAGGAGCTTGGGACTAAACCCACGGTCTTCTGCTCAGCAAGCAAAAACGTTTGCCACTAGGCAGACGAGCACCTTTTTAATCACCGAGTTGCTGTTTTTACCATGTAGTCACATTAACAAATAAAACGATTGACGAATGTGGATGGGCCTGAGATTAGACTCATGATGTTCTGCTCAGTAAGCAAAAACGGTTGCTCTAAGGCCACCGAGCCCCTCATATCACATAATCCGTTGCTCAAATTTGTGTATCCATTCAAACCCGGAACCAACGACAACAACGAGTTTCGCAAAAAACACGATACACATGCGATTTTACCATAAATCTCTTTGATATGTAAGGACCTGGGACCGCGTTTTTCTGCTCAGTAAGCAGGCCACTGTAACCGACGATCTTTCAAATCCGAAAACTAAAAACTACGAAAAAGTACTTAGGCCTTCATTAAGTTCCACTTTCACGCGACGTTCAATGACAGGGTCCTATCCAGGATTACATCTGAAAAATCCAAATCTGGCCAACGCCCACCCTAAACCTAAACCTGTTCTAATCCACCTGAAATGACTAACGAATAGAAGACTTTGACTACCCAGCCATGCAATAGTCTCATTCCGTGCCTTATGGCAACTTGATGATTCTATTGCGCTCATCTTCTGGCACCACCCAGAGGAGACTTGGTCCTGTACCCAATGCTTAACTTATCTCCATTCCACTCAGCTACTCGCAATTTCTTGTGATATAGTGGGCGGAATATTATTATATGAGACAATTCAATGCAGACGTCTTTCCAAATTTGGCAGATCGACAGGTAATCGGTGAGTTTCCACGATAGTTGCTATTCAATAACTCGACAACGTCCCATCGTCAACGCCTGCTATGAGAATTTCCCATTGCAGACGCCAACGAAATGACGTCATCGAGCTATCGATCAACTACCCTGGTTATCGCCTGGTACCTTATAGCACGATGCTAGGAGGCGAACCGGAAGAATCGATGAGCTACCTCTCCCCCTCTAACTAGAATTGTACTTGTAGGCTAATAAATTACTATTCTGAATTTCAATCTTCCCATATCTCGATGGTCCCTTGAAAATCGAGAAATGGAAAGTATGGACTGTACATGAACTACATGTTTTTTTTTTTAATGGGAATAATAACGGAATAAATTCCGCTTGCGCACGCTACGGGAAGTGTGTATTTTATTATATTATATTAAAGATTCTTATTTTAACGCGTTTAATAAACTATTCGGTCAGTAAATTTTAGTAGAAGTTATTAATTATGTTTTCACATTCAATAGGTGTCCATTGGCAAACTATTGGGAAATTTATGTGAGAATATGGGGTCAAATAAGCCGCCCGATATGACATGTATGTGTAAAAGCGGATTTTTAACTTCATTTTGAAAAAACAATATTTACGGTGTAAAAAATATTCAGAAAAATGTTTACACTAGTTTAGAGACAAAAAATAAAACAGGTACAAGTTTCGATCTCATTTTACACTGGTGTCCCATGCATGAAAAATACCTTAATTAGATAATTTTCAGATCTTTCATGGAATTTTGAGGTAGAATAGGGTCGAGTATATTCGTATATTGAGTGGCAAGCACAATAATAACTCTACAGACAAACATACATAACACTCGCAAGTTGTTCATCTAATACGCATTTAGGGGTCGTCCATTAATTATGTCACACATTTAGGGGGGAGGGGGGTTTTTGAAAACTGTGACGAGCGATACAAAAAAAAAATAACGTCCATACAAAAAATGTGACAAAGGGGGGAGGGGGGTTGAAAATGGGCCAAATTTGCGTGACATAATTAATGGATCATCCTTTAACGGTAAATGTAAATGTTTTTTATTTGGTAGCACCGCCACCTGTGGCGCGCATAGTCAATTCCTTTGCGTTTGACGTTTACACACTACCACCATCTGTTCAGCGTACTGCCCATCACAGTATACTCAAAAGATGGCGGTAGCGTTTTAGCGCCGATGTTTTATAGTGAAAAATATTCCATGTGTTATGTCTGTTTGTCTGTGATAACTCTATGCCCAGGGAAGTCAAGAAAATGTCCAACCCGAAAGATTTTTAAGACCGGACCGATAATCGAACTGATAACTGACTAGCCTGTCTGACGCCCCGAGAAGTCATCAAATAAATAATACAAGTGTAATGCAATTCGCAATTTAGTCTAACATTGAACAACACATTCTAAGTTAGTTCTAAAAATCACAGGATTTCCCCATTATGCTATTAGACGCCATTATAATTACATACAGTCAAGAATTACACAGCTACTGCCCGGCCGGTAGTTGTCGCCGGTTAAGGACAGCATCGATCGTGATTGGCAAACCTTCAAACAACGTACATATGATCGTACGTGCAAACCTACAACGATGATGTAGGATATTGATCGATTGTTATGCGTACGTGTACTTATTTGAAAATGATATCAAGTATAGCACAAGCTTAAAAAATAAGGGGGAAGGAATTAGCAAAAGATACCCACGCGTTTTGTCAACTGTTCCGTTAGTAAATTTCGATCTATCAAACAGAACGGAACTGGAGCTTAGAACGTTAAGACTTATAAAATCGTATTATTCAATAACCGAATTCGAAGTGGAAGTTTGCTTCTTGCCAGTGAACGATGAAGAGTGTGATATTGTGCCCGGTGATATATTTAAGTGCCCTGTATTTTGCCGGTGTGCAAGGTGTTCCAGTGAGATTTACTGATCCGGATGACGATTTGGATGAAACTATCCTTCGTGGTGCAGTAAATATCGGCCGGGAGATTAGTGGAATCTTTTTCGGGTTGGTTTTGTAGTGATACTACTCAGCGTGTATACAAATGCGTTACGGATTATTATTCTGCTTCCAGTGCGAGACCTTCACGTCGTAGGCCTCCAAGCACCACAACGACTACGACCAAGCGTCCTGAAAATAATGGTCCAATTTATTTTCCAGGTGGAAATGATGGGTAAGCCATTCTGCGCAGCGTCGTCCATTGAGTAAAATAATTGAACCACACGGTATAGGATTATTAGGGCCTTTTTTAGATCAGTTGATACAGCAAGACAATGCTGGTGAAGGGTTCGCTACCCGGTTCGGTTGAGAATTTTTTGAGTATCATTGTACTTGTCACACAATAAGGGAAAGCAAAAAGGGTACAAGCGCAGAAAGCTCTCTATTAAAAACTGTGGAGGTGCTCGAAGAACATTTAGTTGAGGAGAGACGTAAAGCTCCTGCTAGGAACGCCAAAGACGTAATAACATATGATAGATAATTGGATAGTGATACATTCTTCGGGAATTTTTTTTGTAAATCCTTTGGCAATTTTAAATGAGTTTTGATGTGTTTGATTTGTTGGAATTAAGGGTACTTATTGTTTTGGGGTTCAATTGATCATGCCTCTACTGCCAATATCTGTAGAATCGCAGATAAGCCGTTTTCAGCAAGCTGATTAAATTCTCCATTCATATTTTTTCCCTGAAAAATAAAAATAAAAATATCTGGAAGATTATGTAAAATAAAAAATAACTTGGTAACTAGAATGCGAGATACATTATTTTGATAAAAATCGTCGGCTTTATATTCACATGGTCATGAGTGAATCAAACACACTTCGAAAAAATCATGTAAATTTAGGTGCTCTGAGACTGACATATACGAGCGTCAATTTTGACATAAAATAGAGTCATATTAGACACGAAATTCAACTCAATCAAACGCACCTTTCGTCGAGTAACGTAATTTTCAGTTTCGGAGCACTTAATTTTACATGAAATATTTGTTTACGGATGATCCTTTATGTCAAATATGGATTCCGTCACGTGTAAAATTAGTTATTTCTAAGTGCGAACATATTAATTGCTCTAAGGTACACCGGAGCAAGAGGGACCGCGGGTTAAGTGGATCGGCCATTTTTAAATCTGAATGGTTAAGTGTTCGAAAAATCGGAACTGCATAGAGCTAATGGCGTAATACTGCTGATGAAGTCATTGGTTTTATGGAGTTTCCAGTTCCATCTCACCCACGTAAGTCTTCAGATTTCTAAATGGCCGTTCTCACTTACCTCGTGGTCCTTATTGTCACGGTGTAGCATATATGTTTTGTACATTATACAGGGCTGGTAGCGAGTCACTTTTTAGTGACTTGGTCACTTTTTTTAAGTCAGTCACTAAAAAGTTTTAAGGCCAAGTCACTAAAGTCACTTTTTCTTGTAATAAGTCACTATTTTCAACTTTTTAGCGTGAATTTATTTTAAGATTGATTATTCTTTGCGTTGTGACGTTTAATCGTCTTTCTCTATATACAGGATGTCTACTAGTTTTTCTGGATAAAATTAACTGAGTTTTCCAAGTAAGTAAGTCCAAGGTCTAAACATTTTCAATGTCTTGAAGTTTCGTATTCCATGTACAAGTTGAAGATAATGAAAATATTCAAAGTGCCAGAATTAAGTAAACAAATAAATGATTTATTTCAAGTTCGTAATTAACTTTATGAAAGATTAAACTTTAACTTTATGTAGGAAGTTTGGAGAAGTTCTGAGGAATGAAAGGAAATGCTGAAAATTTCAGTAAAGCTCTGTAAACAAACTGCAGGAACATAAAGGAAGTTAACACGCTGAAAATATGGGAAACTTACTGGAAGCTGTCAGAACCTCAAAGCGGTTCTTTTAGCATCCGAGACTTTTCAGGAACTTTTATTAAGTTCGTCAGTTGTCAAGCGAACTTAAGAAATTTAGAAAACTTGAGGGGTATTTTAATTTTTTTTAAGAAGTTCTAAGCACCTCATAAAAGCTAGATAGATTAAAAATCTATAATCGTAAATTTAGATAAATGATGTACTGAAAAACAAATCGTGAGCCCTTAAGATGTTCCGCGAATTTCAGAGAAGTAAGAGACATTCAGAGAATTTATGAAAACTTCAGAAATATTTCAGAAACTTTACAAAAGTCCAAAGAATTTCAAGGAAATTTAAAGGTGTTTACGAGAATTCTATTTCCTAGCAGAACCGAGGTCTTCAATAGAACTAAGAGCTTTATGAAAACTTCGAGAACATCAAGACAGGTCAGAGAATCAAAGGACAGTCCAAATAATTTCAAGGAAATATTAGAAACCTTAAGGGGGTATTCCCAATCTTTTGCCTTTTTTCGGACTGTTTTTCAATTAATTTTTTTTCAAGGAAAATGAATAGTAATGCGCCTAACTCTTTAGGATTCTTGTTTATTGAACATTAAAGTTTACAAATAAATTTTTTTCGACATAAAAAAAGACATTATTGACGTCACAAAATGGCGGCAAACAGACCCCTGTTCGCCGCAAACGCCTGGACGGGCGAAGACTTTTCTCTGGAACGGCTTCATCTGAAACAGTTTCGTGATGAAATTAATAATCTGCATAAGATTCTCTGGAGCTTCTCCCGTTGGCAGCAAAAAATCTTGCAAATTAACAAAATGGCGGCCATATGAAAAAACAGGCGATTTTTAGCCCGCTTTTTTGCAGCTTTAAGGTGCTTCAAACAATGTTAAATGTTAATATTTTTGGCTGAAAGTGGGAGAAGCTCCAAAGAATTTAATAAGGAACAAAATGCGCAAAGATTCAAGTCAATATCTCTTATAGTTTCTGAGAAAAATCTTCGCCCGATAAAAAAAAAGTGGTTTCGAGAAAAACGCGTTTGAAGTTTTGACTTTAGTTAAAACCATTTGGGGGTTCTTACCATTAGTCAGCTATGCCTGGACACCGAATTCGCTGATCGGAAAACGGCTTGGGGGGATGAAAGTATATAGTCTAAAGTACAAAAAAAAACGTGAAAAAAAAATTTGATTTTTTGAAAAAAAAGATCGGGAATACCCCCTTAAAGAAGTTTCGAGAAACTCAGTGAATTTCCAAAAACTTCAGCAAAGCTCCGAGAGAATTCCTGGAAATTTTATGAACATCCCGAAAACATGAGAATATTTTAAGGGTGTTATATCATGGAGATTTCAAGAACTTAAAAAAATGCGAAAATTTAGCTTAGTTGATTAGAGAACATCTACAAAGAACTTTTAGTAAGCAGCGTTATCTTCAAGAAATTCCAGAGAACTAAATATAGATATTTTTAATAGTTTAATGATATTCAGTGAAGTTCCGAGTACTTCGAGGACGATCAGATAGCTTCAAAATAATCCTATTAACTTAAGCAAATTTGCAGCGACTAACAAGGAGTTCCGTGGAATTATAGGGTATTCCAAGAATTCTATGATTGTTCCTAAAATGTCAGAAGCGTCAGGGAATTATGAATATATATCAAAAAATTTGCTGGATTATTAAACAAATTTAGAGAACTTCAGGTAAGCATAGATAAGTTCAGGGAAAAGCGAGTTTTAATAATGGTTATAATACTTAAGGAACATTTTTGAAACTCTAAGGCAAATTAATTGATTTCAGTAAAGTTGCGGGTTCTTAAAATATACTGATAAATTCAGGACAGTCTAGAGAACTTTAAAGAAATTCAGTAATCATTTAGGCACCAGGAAGTCTAGACTATTGAAGAAGTTTTAAATTAGTGTCGATAATTTAAGGGAAGTTTTATGAACTTCAGAAAAATCTTGAGAACTTAAGTGAAAATCATAGAACTATATTAATTATTTCGTTCTAATTTCATGAAAATTTCAGGAGCACAAAAGTTCTATAAATTTAGAAAAACTTCGGAAACTTCACAGAAGAACAGTGGTGAACATTTATTTGATGCGCCTTCTCTTAGGTCACTTTTTAGTCACTATTTTTACAACTGTAAGTCACTATTTGGTCACTTATTTATTCAACATGGTCACTAAAATCACTATTTCTGGCAGCAGTGGTCGCTACCAGCCCTGCATTATATCACTTACGATAAAAACCGGAGAAATAGACTTCTGTGACTTTGTACCGTGTAGCGGCGCCGGTCGTGACTGCTTCTCATTCCAAAGGGCCAGTCGGTACCGTCGGGATTTTCTGAGGCATAAAATTTCTGATCATGCTGTCGTTTGGAACGGAAGTAAGCCGTTGGTCCCGGTCCAATGGTTGATGGGTCGAAACGTAGGGTCCAGGTGTGGGAGCTGCCTCCCTGGCGTCGGTAGATTGGCACTCAGTACGGAAAACAAGAAGGAAGACAAACACATCAAGGAAAACAAATAGAAGACCGTACTTCACTTATACTTAGAAATTACCCACTGTTCTGCACTAATACCTGGTCATTCACATAAGTCTAAATAAAGTAATTCCATAGAAAAAGTTAGAGTGGATCTTAGAATTTAATAACAATTGGTTATTTTGTTCCTTATAGAAAAATATTGAACCCGTATTTTGTTATTTCGTAAAAGGGTAGTCTGAAAATTTAGTATTTTTCCTAATTTTATTATTTTTCAATCATAACTTTTGAACAACAGAACCGATTTTTTTAATCAAAAGGATGTGTCCCTGAGACCGACACATGTAAGCGGCCCTTTTGTCATAAGAATCAGTTGAAAGAAACAAGAAAATCAATTCAATCAAACGTTTTCTTCGTCGATTTGCTTATGTTTCGGTTTGAGAACACGTAATTTTACACGAAATATTTGTTAACGTTCCATGATTTACGTACAATATGGATTACGTCTCGTGTAATAGTAGTTATTTCTAAGTGTGTAGTATTAAGAAAAAAAATTGAATATGGACTTAATTTATGGGTTTACATTGAGAAACATTGACAACTTTATACTCAACATATTATTATATAAGCCTGCCAATTATTAAAAAATGAATATTTTTGAAAAGTTTTGATTTGTTTTGTAAGACCAAATTTTCAAGAAATATGTAACATGTAATAGTGCCTTGTGTCCCAAGACCATTAAAATAATGAAAATCGATTTTAATCAATGTTTTTTTTAAATGTAAAACTCGATGTTGGACTAAAAAAATCAGAAAATCAAATAATAATATGGAATCTACATTTTGCCTATATTTATCACCGGGTAAAATTGGTTGGTTGGTGATAGATATCAAGAGAAATCTTGATAGCTTTTGATTATGAGACTCCAATGTTAGCTTGGACGAGTTTCTCTTTACAGGAAAGTAGATTTTTCTGCATAATTTTCAATTTTATTTAATCGACGTTCAATAGCATTCCATATCAGTTTTTTTTCCTTGATTTGTTTTCCGTCGATCTTGTTTTCCGTGTTGAGCACCAATGCTACCGACGCCAGGGAGGCAGCTCCCACACCTGGACCCTACCTATCGACCCATCAACTCATGAACCGGGGACCAACGGCTTTACTTCCCATCCGAAGGAAGGCGTGATCAGAGGTGGTTATGCCTCAGAACATCCCGGCGGCGCCGACTGGGATTGAACCCAGGCCTGCGGGGATGAGAGGCAATAACGCTTACCACTACACCACCGGCGCCGCTATCCATATCAGTTTTAAAACATATCTTTTTATTGACTTGGTCACTAATTTCAAGTCAGTCACTAAAAAGTCATTTAAGTCACTATTCCTTAATATTTAGTCACTAAGTCTTTTTTTAACAATGAGAGTAAATAATTTGACTTTGAAAACTCACCTCAAATCACAGCTTGATTTAGTAACAAATTTGTGTTAGAAAGATTAATTAAAAATCAGTGTGTACATTATGACTGACAAGAAGATTTGCGGACAGACGGAAACGTTAACTGTTCAATTAATGTTGACGGAATCACTAATATTTGATTTTTTTTATCTCGAAATCATCATAGACCTGTCACAAATTGTCAAAGGTTTCGAAAAAAGTTCTAGACTCAATATTCTGGCTATTTTACTTTGATATCTTGATTTTTTCCTAGCCTAAAATCTCAAAAAATGGTCTAGGAAAATTTTCAAGTTCTCGAAATTTGTTCAAAGGCCAAATATTTGAAAAAGCATTGACACCTGATAGCTTTAGTATTTGTCCAAACACCAAGAAAAAAATCGTGTCACAGAATCTTGAGTTCCTTTTTAAGGTGTAAGGAAGCCTTAGTGTAAAACTTCAAAGGCACAAATGTTCGAGGGGGACGACTCTATCTACGAAGCAGAAAAGATTGTGTTTTGCTGTGGCTAGCTGCGCGCACGCTGAGTTGATAGAAAGAAGACTGATGATGATTCTGAAGATTTCCAGCAAAAAGATGATGCTCGATGCAAGTAGATGCGACAAATGAAAGAAGATTTTTCGAAGACTGATTCGCTAGTGTGAGATTTGTTGAGCATCTTAACTTGAGATTTAGATGTGTCGCCCCCCTCGCAAATGTTAGCTTCCACAAAAGATACAAATTTGAAATTGCTACTCCTTGTTTGCTGTGCTATTAAAAATAGAGAGTACCAATTCCATTAAACTGTATTGTTTTATTTTTATCTGGTACTAAAGAAACAAATTTCCGGGTCCTTGTTTAAGGAAAAAAAACATTATGTCCATGATCATAAAATGTTTTCTATGTTTCAAGCAAGAGCATTTAAAATGTTCAAGAATTGTGAACTTACATTCTATATGTTTAAAATAAAGAAAATTATTTCAGGCTGCACAATTTTCTTAATAAGTATGTCTAGGAGATCTTTAATGTTTAAGTCCCAGAAATTAAAAATATGGTCCAAAAGATTATTTTAAGTCCTAGACGCATTCAAATTTTGTTTTAGATCCGTAATCTTCCCATCTGGGATAATTTTCCTCGTTCCATAATAATGAGATTTTTTCTTAGACTGCGCGCTCCAAAGAAGAGCACGATGTTTTTATTAGAATACTCATGGCTATCTTAGATCTACATTTAATTATAGGCTGCAGTTAATCACGTTGTTAAACGTTTCGCTTCATCTATGCCCTAGATGTTTTAAAATTAACTGTCATAAAATTGTCAAAATTTGTCTAAATCCTTGAATATAAACATTTTTCTCTGTGCCTCAATTTTGCCATTTACTCACCAATTGCATCTAATATCAACTTAGTAAATTGTTTGTTTAAAAAAATCGAGTTAGACAAAAGAGTGCAGAGTGAGGAAATGGAAGTTAGAATTGAACCGTGCTTTTGCTTATTCAATTCATACTTATTTTTCAAGAACAAATTTATGAGATCCTCAAACCTTATTTTTTAGAACATGAAAAATGCACATTATGGGTTTTGAGTTTATAAAATTTCTCGAAAAGGCAATCGTAATCAACGGAAGATTGGGACCAATTCCGATCAATAAATGTCACTATTGGTCACTTTATTATTGTTTGAAAGTCACTATTTGGTCACAATTTTCATTATTTTGGTTTTGAAGTCACTACTATTACATCACATACCCACTACCATATGCCCTGACATATGAATCATACGGTTGGAACGATTGTTGTCCTTGATTTGAAAGTGTTATTTTTCATTGAACTAAGTGTCAATCAATATTTCTTTTTAAATATGTTAAAATGTTTCCAATGTTTGAAAATAATGATTTTCTGTGAATTTACCAGTGATAATAAAAAAGTGTTATATTTTCCTTAATATCTACTTAAAATATATTTCGTACAACGATTTATGGAACCCACATTTGATAAAAATATCTCCTAGAAGTTACTCCAAAGCCATTTAAGTTCCCCCAATAACTATATTTTCCAATTTGAGATTGCAAAGATTCCAAAAACTAAACAGAACTATAGCATTATCATGGCCTATTGATTTTAATATCATGAGTTTGTCAATTTTCTCTAATGTATGCATTCATTTTCATATTTACGTTTTATCCCAAGCAACATTGCTAGTTTTATCGAGCTTTTAAAGCATTCTACAAGTCTAAATCATTCTCTACAGAACCCTTATAAAACCAGAAATGTTACTTGGGATGGGATCAATTTACCTCCGAATTACGGTATTAAATTTAGAATTTCGTTTATTCTCGTTGTTTCAATGCTACATAAAAACAGTACCAAACAGTAAAAAGAATTATAAACATCCATAAGGCATTGATGCCTACATTTAGCGTCAATGTAGGCGTCAGTGCTCCAAAATCAATCTTCTTAAGAAAATTATTTTAGATGCTCAACAAAAAAAAAAAAAACTAAGCCATTCATCAGTTATCGATGTCATCAATGACCTTCATTTGAAATTAATCAAAGCTAATTTGCTGAAAGATCTTTTGTCTCAACTCAATAAATGGTGACCAAAAAGTTCAGATATAAATATTAGCAGAACAATGCATAAAATTAAAATCAGGAGTTCAGAGCTTAACTTTATGATTGAACGTAAAATGAAAAAAATTGTTTTAGCAGAAATAATATGATAAATTTAAAAACACATAAAATATTTACTCAGTCTCCAGCCCTGGTTGGACCATTTGGTAAGAAATCAATATTAAGGTTAAATATTTTTTTCTTTATCAGGGGTTATTTCACAGAAAATCATTATTTTCATAAATTGGAAACATTTTACCATATTAAAAAAAATAAAGAGATTGATTGAAACTTTGTTCAATGAAAAATGCTACTTTCAAATTAAGGACAACAATCGTTTCAACAGTATGATTCGGTTGATTGAAACCTGATATTGAATGCTATTGAACGTCAATTAAATAAAATTGAAAATTATGCAGAAAAATCTACTTTCTTGTAAAGAGAAACTCATCAAATCTACCATTGGAGGCTCATAATGAAAAGCTATCAAGATTTCTCTTGATATCTATCACCAACCAACCAATTTTACCCGGTGATCAAATGTAGTCCATAATGTAGATTCCATACATTCATTTGATTTTCTTCTGATTTTTTTAAAAACAAATTATTATTTTTTATGTCAAGATGGTCAGAGAAAAAATACGATCGCGCATTTGAAATTAGAACTTTGATAGCAAATAATATGGGGCCCCTATGGGTAGCTGGTGGACCCTCCGGATCATAAACTAGGCACTGTTCTTGATTTATAGATTTTCAAAGTATGTGATTTTTGGAAAAATCAGAGAATTGAACCGTTACTGTCCAGGCCGTCGGTTTCTTAATCACACTAAAGGCCGGTATCCACCAGAGAAAATTACTAGATTTTTTTTTCTATTTCCCTTGCAAAGGCTTTTCCTGTTTTTTCTTGCGATTGTCCTCAACCGTAAAAAATTTCATGGAAAAAGTTTACTGTTTATATTTTTTTGATTGCTTCGATAATTTCCTTATCATTTTCTTATACGGCGTTCTTTTTGCGATGCTTGTTTCAAGAGTTATCAATTTTCAAAGTTCCGACCAAAACTTCATCCAACATTTTCCGGAAAAAATAGCCACTCCGAAGTTTTTGATTTTTTTAGATCATATGAACAAAAACATGGACCTATTTTCAAGTACTTTTAAAGCAGCAATGCGTATAAAAATTTTCACAAAATGATAGATCAACAGCCCATCTAGCTGCTTTGGATGAAAAGCGATTAAATTTTGTTTGAAAAGTCTATAAAAAATTGCTATTTGTCATATTGCCCTGCTAGCGCATTTTGCACTATTTCCCTCTACCATCATAAAAAGTACGTGTTATTTTGAGCATGGTAGGTTTTAATAATTAACTAGACAAAGTTTCCAGAGTTGTGAACTAAGAGTCTGGATTTCGCTACATTACGGTATACGTGGTTTTTGAACATCCTAACTCTGGATAAATCCCAAATGACAATCTTAGGGCCAGATCTGGAGATAGTAACCCTATTGCATTAAGCCATCAATTGTCTTTGCTTTTAATATCTTCCCAGAAGTCTGGAATACATTAATGATACCCAGTTAATACAGGTTTGCCTTAATTCCTTTTCACAGCTTTTCGGTGTCTGCAGCCGGAGCTGGAGCCCAGACAGTTCAGCATGGTCAGCATGGTCAGACGGGCGCAAGCGGAGCGGCGGCTAACGCTCAATCTGTCACCGTGACGGGCCACCAATCGGGGTAAGAATTAACAAAAAGTTAAAGAATAGCCGGTATCCTCATATATCTTATACCTACAAATATATACGTTTAATGTCCCGCTTTCACATTCGCATTACAGCTTTGGAGGGTCTGCTGCGGGCGCTAATGCTAATTCATTGACGACTGGCAGTCATAATGGGTTTCATGGAGGCGCGTCTGGAGCTGCTGCTAATTCGCAAAGTTTCAATGGTGGATTCCCAGGGTAATTAAATCTATTCGAAAAAAAAAGCCGCGCAACATGTACGGTCTAATTGTGCGTAAAAAGTAGAATATGGTATTCCTGTCATGTGTGGGGTTTTACGCTTTTAGCTTCTAGTTTCAGTGGGTTGCCTATTTTCGATATTAGTTTATTCAACGATATATTTGCCTGCCTTGAATCGGAAATAGAAATTGCTATTTCAACTCTAGATTAGGAATATCGTTCTCACATTATTTTTATGACTTGGAAGAGATTTTTTTTTATAATGCGTTTATTTTTCCAGGCTAATTTGCTGTAGCTTTGCGGAGCCGATATTCATTGTTTAGATTACAAAATTAATTAAAACTAACATTAGTAAAGCGGGAACCGATTACTCACGGCTATCTCGAGGTTAGGGGCAACAAATTGTAACAAATGGATGGCAGGGTAGGGATTGTGAACACAAGGTTTGAAGAGCAATGTGCTCTTGATCTCGAACTAAGCGACACTCTGATGAAAAAGACAAACATGGGGGTACACCGATGGGCAGCTAACAACTTGGGAGAACACAAAATGACACTAACTACTAAATCCTCAGATCTATCCGTTTTAAAAACACATAAAAACTTAGAAGAGATATTAATTCGTAAAAGAGCATAATATTTGAAGTAAATTTGAATCAGTTATTTTTTAATAGATTTAATTTTTAAGGTAATATATTAAAATTTTGAACTCGATCAGTAAATCGAGCTAAACATATGATACATTCTACCAGAATGTATCCACGTTTTAGCCGGGGTTGATAGATTTTTTTTTATTGTAACTGAAAATAATGAAGAGAACCCCTAAACATTATTGCATATGTGGGAAGTACTATAAGTTTCGTGTAAGAATTGATCATGAGTTTCTGATTTGAGTAGTTCAAAATGATTTGTTGAGCGGTTATGTTGCGTGACGTTACAACGTTTTGCATTACTAAACTACTACTCCTTAACAGCTATTCAAACATGTTTTGATCTATCAGATACTCTTGATCAATTATTATAGGAAATTTAACAAACTTAAAATCTGCAATAATATTTAGGGGTTACTTTTATTTTTTTTTTCAGTTACAGTTACGGTTCATCTAAAACATTGTTTTAACCCGTTGTAACGTCACGAAGAATGTCTCATATATTATGCAGAATATAACATATGTAGAATGCAAAGTTGGAAAAATCAAGATGATAGGTGTTGCGAAAATTGTTAGGGAAAATTGGGGTAAGACGGACATCGTGTCACTTCACGGCAAATACGAGAGTTCACACCGAAATTTACATCACTTTGTCGCTAGACGAATAAATTTTTCATTTTTGTTTATGTTTTTACATTTGACAGCTCCCATGACAAGTAGAATATTCTGGAATACATTAAATATCGTAAATTAAAAGTGAGTGTGACAGAAATCAATTATTCAATAACAATCAACTGTCCGTCTTACAACTTGTGGGCTGTGTGGTGGTGCGGCTAGCGGTGTGTTAGGGCTCGATTCCAACTCCAGTTAGTGGAACTTTGGTTAAAATGAAATTTACTTACTGTATTCCCGAGCAAAGCTGAAGATCAAATTGATCAAAGTTTGCTGCTATGATCTAACTTTTTGCGGTACAAGCACATATCGTCGATAATTGTTGTGTATTAGAGATCGAGCAAAACGACAAGTGAGGGGAATGGATTCGAAACTCAAATGTCTACACCCCAAAAAAATCGGAAAGACTTGAGTTTAAATCTAACCGGGATTAGTCATGAATTACCTTAAATTTGTTAAAAAAATAAATAAAACAATAATCGTTAGTTGAACCACAGATGACATTAAATTAAATTTGCAAAAAGACATTAACAGCAGTACTTGAAATTAAGCTGATTTAATTTAAAAAAAAAACTCTTGACTGCATAATGAAAGCTTAATTAGCAAATAATGAAAGCATGTTAGCATAATGAAAGCTCAGAATTATTTCGTGACATTGGAAATAAAATTGATTTTTGATATTATGATAGGATCAGCAAATTTTAATATCGATTTGCTGTCTTTTTGTTAATCGACTTTGCTCGGGTTACTACTGGGTATTAGGATTAGGTTTGTGCAACCTCTCATTGAAGGCGGTGTCGAAAACAAGATTTAATGTTAATATAATGATATATAAAGATATATTGAAAGGAAAAGGAATCCAATATTCGTCTAACATCATTTTATTACAGATCTTGCATTGCCGTGCTGTCTCAATAGATAAAGATAGAATTGATTATTTTACTCAATCAGTAAGGAAAGGTGACCATTTTTAGAAATTTTAAGATCCTAGTTTTAAAAGCTTACTTTCCCTTATTGTGTCATGTAAACTGTTATAATAATGAAAATAATAATAAATTGACTTCATTTCAGCGCCAGTGTATCGGCTTCCGGCGCCAGTGCTAATTCCATGAACTCTGCTAATGGAGTGGGCACCGCTTCAGCAGCTAATGCTCAGTCAGCAAGCTTTAACTCAAGATACCCAGGGTGAGTAATGCAATTGTAATGTATTTGTCTATTTATCATAACTCATTCAATGATTACCAGCTTCAGTTTCACGGGTTCAAGCTCCAGTGCCAACTCTGCAAGTCATGGGTTTGGATCCGGCTCGGGCGTAGGGCTTGGAAGCAACAACGGATATATCGGAGGATCCGCAGCTGCTGCTAATGCGCAAACGGCCAACATAAATACAGGAGGGTTTGGAGTATCAGCATCCAATGCTAATGCAAATTCCATAAGCCAGCAAATTGGGTAAGCCGTTCTTCACTATAGATTGTACACATACTAACTTTGTTTCCATCTAAAGAGGATTTGGTTCATCCAGTTCGAATGCGAATGCCAACAGTTTTACACAAGGGCTTGGGCCGAATGGTTTCGGTAGTAGTGCGGCCAATGCTCAGTCTAATACATTTCAAAGCGGTGGTCCATTGGGATCCTTTGGGGCATCTAATTCAGCTTCTCAATCGCAAGGATTCTCGGTAGGAGCAGGAGGTATATCCGGTTCAGCAGCTCTTTCCGGAAGTCAAACATACAGAGTTCCCTATCATAAGGATATAACGTTGTCATATTCGACGGGATTTTCGACCGCTGCGAGAGAAGATGGAAATCATACGTTTGCGAATGGGAATTCTTTTACGGTAAATTGATTGAAACTGTGGTAGTTACACGGATTGCTGTAGGCTGTGGCATCTGTATGATATTAGAAATATAAATGAGATTTCTTAATCGATACTCTAGAAAATAAAATTAAACGCCAAAGTATTTGATGATTCTTGTTGTTTTTTGCTAAGCGTCCGATTCTGCCGTATTCTTACAACGTATATATATATATATATATATAAGTTCATCAGTTTGTGGCCCTTGGGCCTAAGCGAAGACACATATCAAGTAGACTTTCAACTTTCCCGTGTTTTCATACGACCGCTATGAGACAGGCACAATCACGTCATCTGCCACTCAAAGATAAATATTTCAACGAATTAGATAGCGATGATTTCAACCAATGATTGGGTTTGTAGAAATGACATGATTAAAACAGAATGTTTTATTGAAATACCGTTGACATATTGGCAATTACTAATTTAACCAAAAATCAAGCTAGTTATCTTTCCTGGGAAACAGCTAATAAACTTACTTACCTTACCAATCAGGCTAAGGGTGCGGTGTCCTCTGCTGTACACAGTACTCCATGACTGCACGTCGCCAGCTTCGCAGTCTGCGAAAGCTCCGCAGGCCGCCTTCCACCTTGTCCGCTGCGTGCTTCTTCGTCTCGTTCTAGTCGGTTCGTTAACGAGAACCATTTTCACTGGGCTACCGTCTAACATTCTTACAACGTGCCCAGCCCACCTTAGTAACCCGATTTTTGCGGTGTGGACGACGGGTGGTTTTCCCAGCAGCTGGTGCAATTCGCGGTTCATTCACCTTCTCTACGTTTCGTCTTCCATTTGCACTCCACCGTAGATGGTTCACAACACCTTCCACTCAAACACACCAAGTTGACCCTCCGCGAGCATAATCCATGTCTCGTGGTCGTAGAGGACTACCGGTCTAATAAGTGTTAGATAGTCAACTTCGTGGTGCGTTGACCTTTACTCCACCGGTGCTTCCTTCGGAGTCCAAAGTAAGCACGATTCCCTATCAATGCTACGAACTCGTCTACCACCTCAATTTCGTCACCGTCAATCCTCGCGGTGGGAGGTTAATATTATCTTGTCTTGATCATCTTCCTCTCTTGGGGGACAGCAATCTCTGTGAATGTGTACCTTAGTCGAAATTTACATGACTCAGAACTCATGACGAATTATCAACCCTCCAGCACCCATAAGGAACCGTTAAAGTAAACTGGTACCACTTGAAGATGTATTTCGGTGAACCGGTTCACTTTAACAATTCGTTTTTGAACCGGTAAAAGCCGTTCTATATGTTTTGTATTCATTATGCTAATTTGGAATTTCCCTTCCACCCTTCCCGTGACACTTATGAGGGGTCGTAGAGTTCTCTTCATTTCTCTTAAGTAAGTGTCATTCCTCTCTCCGATCCCCACCAGATGCAAGGACGTGGCCAGGACAGCTCTAGTCTGTTGGAGGGAGACTCATACTGTATCTAAGAGGTAGTGGTTAACCACAAATTACTATTCAACAGCAACGGATGAAGGTGGGTCTCCTCCTTAACAACAGTTTGGAGCTCGTACCACCTACGACATTGTTCAACCTGGTCTATGCTATGCTATGCTGTGCTATTATGCTAATTTGGAATTTCCCAAAAAAGTACAGGTGGACACTAATAAACCGGTTTTTGTGTACTGGTTCATTTTACCGATTCATGTCTGACCCGGTAAAGACCATTCCGAGGGCCATTCTATACGTAATGCATTTATTATGCCTTATACACTTTATGGAATTTCCTAAAAAAATTATTGGACACATGTAAACAAGTCCTTTGGTTCGGTAAATGCCATTATATATGTTTTGTATTTATTATGCATATTGAACTTTATGTAATTTCACAAAAAATACGCACCACCGGTTTGTTTTATCGATTCGATTTTGATTTTGTAAATGGTATTCTATAGGTTGTATATTAATTAAATAGCGTTGCAAATAAAAAAGAATTCATTTGGAATTGTTCGAAAAGCCCTATAATTTAAAGTTATTGTAAAAAAAAAACCAATTTTGGTTTAGTGATCGCATACTATCAAGAGTAACTCAATAATTTCTCATCCAATTTTTGGCAAGCAAAAAATCAGAGCTTTTGAAATACATACACATTTATAGTGATTTTGCAGAAATTAGCTGAGATTTTTTTAATTGAATTTGATTTATTAAAACAATGTGGTTTTCTAACTTTTAAGGTGACTGATACATGATCCTCCCCCTCGCCATAATACCTCTTTTTCTCTATACAATCCTTAGGCTTTGTTCAAAATTTGAGCCAAGTCGGTGAATATTTACTTATTTATTTTTTTTTTCCGAATTGAAGTTTAAAATGTATAAAGAAATACCATAATACCATAATAGGAAATTGTATGCTCAACATTTTTTATAGTTATTAGAAATTTATTGAAGCGATGACTGACCGATTTTGGATCTTGAAGTCTCACAATATCCGGAAACTCGTCAAGTTTCGATATGTTTCTGAAGAACTGGAATGATATAACATGAATCATATCATATTATTTTTGAAAAAAATTCAAAATAACCTGTCCAAAGAGCATTGAGATCGTAACTTAGGCCACATACCAGTACCAGAGAACCCACCTAGACGTAATCTGGCCACATGGGCATGCGTCACATAAATTTGCGTTCATTTACAAGTACGACAAGTACGATGGAGTATCATAGATCTCCTCTAGACGGAGTCTGGTCACAGTTGCCAGTATCCGGACCTTCCTAAATCCAGTTCTGAGGATCCCTTTTCGCTCCGACAGAACATGGGCATGCGATACATCAATTTACGCTAATTTTGATAGGTGAATGTGATGGAGTACCTGGACATAATGTGAACAAGATGGTAAGTATCCGAATCTTCCGAAACCGATCCCTTAGTACTGTTTCTCTCTGCTTGAATATGTGCGTGTAACACATGAATTCAATTTTATTTTGAAAGATGAGTGCCATTGAGTAATTAAGGCTCCTCTAAAATGTAATTTAGTCAAAGACGTTAGTATGCGGATCTTCCAAAATCCGGTTCCCAGACCACAATTCTCTCTGACTTGCAAAGATAAGATCAATTAAGCTCCAGAGTCTTATATAAGATGCGATCTAGTCACGGCGGTTAGTATTTAGACCTCATTTTTTTTAAGATTAATTTGTCGCATGCTCATGCCTCCCTTAGCTCAGATGGTAAAGGATCCATGCCGGAGGCGGCTTGGTTCGGTAAAGTATGATTATACTTGGCACACAATATATACTAATGCAAAAAGGAATAGGCTTAGAAAGCTCTCCTTTCGACAACTGTGAGAGTGCTCAGGGAACACTAACTTGAGTTGAGGGCCGGCGTAAAGTCCTAGTGGAAACTTAATAAAGCCAAAGAAGAAGGAGCCGCCCAGACAACCAGAATGCGCGTATATTCAAAGTTGTTTTCGTGATATACAAACATATATACAAACAAACAATTCGTATAGAATGCAAATGAATGGCTGATACGTACAAAAGTGGAGGCCATACACGTGCATATTTTAATTTAATTTTAAACGAATTCATTTAACATCATATACGATTTAATCTGTAATAACAAATTCATTTTGAAAAGTCTTACGATGTAATTCAATTTAATTTGTAATACAGTACGACGGAAAAATGTGTCATCGCAGATAGGTCGGAAATTTGCATTCCATACTATTTAACTTAAACATAATGCGAGGTATGCCATTCTTTCATGCGATTTTGGCTTAAACTGTAGTAATTTACGATACTATGTGTACATTGTTATACGACTTCTGGTTGTCTGGGCGGATTATGAAACATCTAAATACAGTTAATAACTCTTCTTTACTGGCAACTAGTTTACAACCAGGTGCCATAATGTTTATTTACTTTGAACAATATGAAAAAAAGTTTAACAGTTAAAGGTGGATTTGGCTTTTATCTTGGCATGACTCTTATTACCTGTCTAATGTAAGCATTGCTCAATAGCGAAATGATGACGTCTCGCTAGCATTTCATATTACAATAAGTGAACGTGACTTCATGGTTAACATATTTTTTTGATATAATAGATAAAAATTACGAATAAATACAAAAATTCTCAACGTTTGCAACCGCAAAAAGTTGACTTTTCACTTATGTTACGGAACTTTGCATTGCGTTTGCGTTATGACCACCGACGAACATTGAACTTGATTTGGTATTCTCTTGTGATTTGATGTGCCGCATGATGTGTTTGACACGTTTCAGTTCAGTTCCTGACATACATTGGTACTATTTCTGGAACCAGGAGATCGCTTGCAAAAAATATACAATTGCGTTCTATGGAACCGTATTTGAGATGTTGAGATTTAGATTTTTCAATTTGAGATAGATAACCACAAAGTTGTAGAACAATTTATTTGAAGCAACTTTGCAGTTTATACAAATTTTCCATCTCTAATGGTGCGAGAGTAATACTGGTTTTAATAAATATCTGAAAATCGAAAGTTTGAAATTAACTATATTTATAGATTAATTTCTAGAAACTTTTAGAGCACATTTTTGAAAAAGAAAATAACGTGCTACCTCTTTTATTTGAAAAGTCTTTAACGATTTTCGTAAAAAAATACGTCCTTTTTAGAAGTAAATAATATGAGAAAAGGCTATCATTGGTTTTACATAATATATCAATGCAAGCACAATCTTTCAAATGTAACTAAAATAGCAGCGCCGGTGGTGTAGTGGTAAGCGTGATTAATTCTCACCCCAGCAGGCCTGGGTTCAATCCCAGTCGAAACCGCGGGGATGTTCTGAGGCATAACATCTCTGATCAAGGGAAGTAAAGCCGTTGGTCCCCGGTTCATGAGCTGATGGGTCGATAGGAAGGGTCCAGGTGTGGGAGCTGCCTCCCTGGCGTCGGTAGCATCATTGGTGGTAGCACGGAAAACAAGATCGATGGAAAACAAATCAAGGAAAAAAATGTAACTTTAAGTATTTAAAACAACTTGTTCATTTTTGAGATATTAACATCTGAAAATAGAATATTTATCAACATAAAATGTATATAACTTACCTTTCTGTTGGTTACAAACATTATTAGTTAAAGTACATAACTCTAGATGGGAGTTTGTCATTAATCATACTCATTGGTCATTGGTCGAAAGGTACCTACTATTTACCTAAAACTTATTGCTTAAGTGCAAGCATTTTTGTCTTGCAAAATACGGCTTTGGTCCAAAAAGCCTCTCTCTTTCTGTTGGAAAGTTATAATTGCGATTTGATGAAAATATTGTTATTTTCAAATATTTATACCTCGAAAAGGAGCTAGAAGCTTGCAGTTGCTTAGTTCTACAACTTTGTCATAAATTGTGTTGGTATATCTGAAATTTTAAATAAAAAATAGGGTGGGACCCAGGATCGTTAAGTTCAAAGTATCAAACTCTTTTTAATTATTTGAGATAGACCATAAGCATGTTTCACAAAGTTGTAGAACTATTTATTTGTAGCAAATTTGCTTAGGAAAAATATGTTTTATCTCTTTCGGTTCACGTTTTATACTGATTTGTATAAGAAACCTATGGTGAACCCATAAAACCTTAATTGTTAACTAACTTTTGCATTGATATCTCGCAAATTATTTATTTCAAACACGTTTACAGCTTTTGATGTCACACATTTTTGCTAAAGCAACTAAGTGTTTATTTAGTTGTAACGCTATTAACTCAAAAGCAATCGCTTCTATTCACTGAAATATGAGCGGTATTTTTGAAAGCAATTGAAAAAGAATATTTACTCTAATTTATCCGGGTTTTGGTTGTATTACAACATAACATTTTCTTCTTTCAAGCGATGCATAAACGTTTCAAAAATATTCATGGAAATTGTTAAAAAAAATCGTTATTCAATAGTGTTTTTTTGGCACGTGTACTCAGTGCACCAGTGCGACTGCTGGAAGGTTAATGATTTTTGTGAAAAAATACGCCCGTTTTAAAAAGTCGATTAAATGAGATAAACAAAAATGTGCGGTTAACTGTATAGTCCGTGAATTTGTATTTGGAAATGAATAAAGTGATCTCGACAATATTAGGGCTTCGTGTAAGCGTCCTGAATAACACAAATCAGATGAATAATTTAATAACATTATTATTCTATACTTACATATTTTTGCTCGTTCCACCCTTTAATCAACGGCTTCAGTCAAATTTCACCAGCATTCCAATAATGAACAAGGCATAAATGACCTGAAATCCTTCCTCTCCTCCTATGTCCGTTATAAATTGATATTTGAATAGATTGCCGAGATTGTCTGTGAAATTTTTCAAATATCCCGATGCGTCATGCAGTAGCTAAGGCCTATGTATTAGTCAATGGCTCTTAAAATTTCTTAATAAATAACGTTCAAAGCCTTGATATAAACATACAAATATTAGAAGCCAACATGCCCTTCGTCTACCAATGCACCAGTTGAACATACAGCATCAGCATTAGTTTGAACCGGGTCCAGCTAATTCTCATTATCTCACATCTACCCCTACCGACTTTCTTCAACCGAGTCAGCTGTGTGAATTAACCACCTCTTGTTAAAAAATAGTACCTAGTAAGTGTTCGTAGGAAGCATACATTCAAGTCTCCGATGCCGATTAATATGCACATTTGTTTGATTTGAGTCAGTCGAGCGCGAACGATTATTCTATTAGCAAGTTATCTCCCGCGCTGTGGCAGTACGTAATTTATTGTGTTGGTTCACTTCAATCGTTGTTGTTCTGAAATTCCCCACTGATAATGAAGGGTTTCATCACGCAAATCGTGTTGGTGATTTTTATTTTCGGTTTTCTGACCGTTTATGGTCAAACTCCGAACAATGGAACAGCTTTCGAAGAGGTGGTCGTTGAAACGTCGCTCTATGTGAGGAGACCAAGCACGGTACTACGACGTCAGCAGCTTAGGGTTCAAGAGAAAGGGGCCTCGCGAAAGAGGCGAGATATCAGGTCTGCCAAATTGTCAGCGTAGCATAACATGTTTGCGCGTTATGTAACTACCATTTTTGCTTGTATGCTTACAGCCATTCAACTGACCACGCGGATTCAAAACTGAAAGTGAATGCTCTCAATCCTACCACCGGTCACCAAAAGCAATCCAAAGATGGCTTTATCCAAGCATTCTTTGATAAAGGCTTCAACAATGGCGCATCGAAAGCTGAACAACGTGCTTTCTACAAACAAAAACCGGTATGACTTCAAATGAATTCATAATTAACAAAAAAAAAAAACGTTCGATTTCAAACACATATCACCCATAAACCACATCGTAGGTAACATCGAAGAAACAGGATGGTAATCAACTTGTTTGATCCTAACGCCATGTGGTCCGGACGTGTCAATCCAAACGAAATGCAAATTGTCCTTCACGGCCGCAACCCGAAGAGATTCGGCGGTTAAGCCTTTTTAGTTTTAACTTGTTGTTATTATTCTTAGTTCTAACTACCTGTAAACTCTGATTGAAAACAGCTCCAAGTTTGCAAAAAAAAAAACATCCCAACAGAGAAAGACAACCGTGCGACATTCGATGCCGACAAATCCCACGTGAATCCCAGTTTCTACATCCGGTTGATTGTGCGGTGATTAAGTAGGTAGGTAGTTGGAAAGTGTACCGATAGCAAAAGACACTTGGAGCCAGAAGAGGTGTGGAGATTTCATTCTTCATTTTTTATGCGATATCACAAGCAAAAGTGAGCAATAAAATCAAACACGATGCGAATGGATTTGTTTACTAGCTGCTGAACTTAGCCGCAGTGTACTTATTATTCCGAACGAGTTTCACCAGTTTGCGGTAGTACAGAAAAGGTACGTGGGTTGTTGCACGTACTTCAGCTTTAGTTTTAGGGAGCTGCACCTGACGCTAATAAGATTCATGTAGTCTTTTGATAGACGCGTTCCGATTGAGTGTGAATCAACTTAGGGTTTTTCGTCTTATGTTTAATCAGATCTGGCGTGACTTAAAAATAAAATGGAAGAACCGAAAGGGTTTCGCCGAAAATGGACCACACATTTTAAATGTTGTGTCATCATGTTAGATTACTAATTTATATAACTTCTCGGAAGGAGTGAACCCGAATATAATTTGGGCAGTCTTTTTTCTTTTATGGCTATTATATCCCTAACAGGAACTTTACAATTGACCACAGGTTAGTCTTTAAGCACTTCCACCGTTGTCAATTAGAAATTGTGTTCGACTATACCTTTTGTTGCATTCGTATGTTAGCACTATGTATATATTAGGAGTATTTGAGAGCTGTATATAGCTGATGTATAGAAGGGACTGTCTTGGGGATTTTCGGCTCTTTCAGTTTTTGCTACTTTAGAGGACTAAAAGAGTCAAAAATTCCTCAGACAGTCCCTCGTATGTATTAGAGTGGCTCAAATCAGATCAAACCTAGAATTTAAAACCAGTAAAATGATTGTTTGGTGGTCAGAAATGCCCTCTAAAAAGTTTAAGCTATTTGATGCACGGGAAGTGGTCCCTCTAAGGCCTTGAAGTTAGTATAGAAAAATCGCCAAAATTGTGATTATTACACCCAGCCGGGAAATGTAAGATTCTATTACATATTTGAATGAAAAGTATGCAAAATTTGATCCTGTACTGTGGTATTGGTTTTACGAAATAATTTTGTAAGCAAGCTTATTTTTCGATCAAAATTTGATTCCCCAATCCGCTATTACAATGAATGATAGTTCCGTTTCCTATCATCTTCTGTTCATGAACATCGCAACGAATGTTAGAAATTGACCATGCAGGCGATGTAATGGTTTTTTGTCTTTTTTATTTCGTATTCTATCTACGCTTTCGACTATACCAGTAAGCTTGTAGAACGACGCACACACATGCTTCGAATCTCTCCAGCAGAAAAAGCATACGAAGTCGAGTATGCGAGAAAATGAGCGCTTCATGTTTGCTTTTAGGCTATCCATGTTCAGAGGCATGGAGAAAGCAGTGGAGAAAGCACAGGTATGATAATCGACAACGTTCGTGGTTCGAGTCCAGTCGGCAGTCTGTTTCCAGTTTTTTTCGACATAACTAATTTACCTCACTAATACACTTACATTTCAGTGCCAAAATTTCAAAGGGGCGTAATTGCATTTGTAAACAATGGCTTTAGCTATCGATTTCTCGCGAATAAAAGCTCACTCATAAAAATTAATGACACCAACAGGTAGATGAATGTTTCCTCTACTAGCTAGCATTGTTAACTTGGAGGGGTGAGCGTTTATTTGCGAGAAATTGACGTCTGAAGCCATTGTTTGCAAAAGCAATTACGCCCCTTTGAAATGTTGACACTGATTTTTCGGTCTCCAATTTTCTTGCATTGGACCGCAGCTAGGTATATCGCATCCTCGGTTCATGCGGTCTCCACTAACATCCTCTGATGATGAATCCTACATAATTGTAAGCGAATCTTACATCCCCCGGTTGGGTGTAGGAAGTGGAACTAACATTCATTGTAATAATTTTTTGGTTTGCGTGTAGTTCTATCACATACTACTTATTTATTTATTTAGATGGATGTCCAAATCAACAGACAAATTTGGTCCTAATGATGTTTTACTTAAGACTAACATTCATAAGTTAAGTGGTAAAAGAAAAACATAAAACAAACTAAACACTCCCTGAACACTGATAATAATAATAATAATAATAATAATAATAATAATAATAATAATAATAATAATAATAATAATAAAAATAATAATAATAATAATAATAATAATAATAATAATAATCGTGAAAGACATTCATTGTCAGAGTGTACCTCGTGCGCGCTTACTCCGGCTATATTTTCGATTATTTTCCGCGTTCTTGTTCAGAATAAAATCCGAGTACGAGCCAACTAACTGCAGCTACGGTCCGTTTATCAAGCGAAACTAGATGATACTGAAATTTCGTGCTGGTTTTATCGTAAATGCGATCTGAATAATTGCAATTTGGTGTCCATCGTACAATTGTTAGACACAGAAGATAGTTGTAGTGCTCAGAAGTACATAGACAATAAACAGGAAAACCTCTGGGATATCTGTGTGTCGATCCCCACAGTGGATTTGCAAGACTGTATGCGTTGTGTACCGCTGTGAATAAACTATATAGTGTATGAGCTAAACGAGGAGATAAAAACAAACACCCGAGAATAACAACAATCCTGTTTCATCATTGACGACCGCAGAGTTCAACTTCGCTTTCGATTGTAACAATCAGTCAACCTCCTAGCTGCTGCGAGCAGCAGGAGTCTCTGATTTGGATGGCTGATCCATCGATCACCAAACCACCGGACATCCCGGGAAACACACAAGGCAATCCCGGTCCTAGCCATGTAAACAAAGATAGACGTACCTTGCCTCTCTGGATCGATAGACATAACAAGCACGGCGATGCGGAGTATTTGTTGCTGCAGGGCATAAACAATGCTCCACTCCCAAGAAAACCTCTCATGATAGGGATATCTATTGAGCTCGCAGCTGGAGGACCTATTGCTTCAGCCATATCAGAATCTCGCGGGACGAAATACACCCTTCAAGTTCGTAACAGAAGCCAGGCCGAAAAGCTGCTCAACATGAATAAGTTAACTGATGATACACCAGTTCAGGTAACTTATCACCCTACGCGCAACATATGCCGATGCGTCGTTACTTGCTGGGATATGGTTGAGACTGACATCGAAGAGATTAAGGAATATCTTGAGAAACAGGGTGTTGTGGATGTACGGCGTATCTCTCGTCGAACTCAAGAAGGTCTAATCAACACTGGAACAATGATATTAACGTGCAAAGGAACGGTTCCACCAAAACACGTCAAGTTCGGTGCCTTGCGCGTTGCAACCCGTGTGTTCTACCCTTCACCCATGCTTTGTTTTAGATGTTACTCCTTCGGTCATACCAAAACTAAGTGCAAAGGTAATACCGTATGTCGAAATTGCTCCAATGTAGACGAATCAACCGAAATCTGCGACAAACCAGCTTACTGCAAAAACTGCAAACAGAACCATTCGCCCGCCGACCGTTCCTGTCCAGCTTATAAGACTGAGGTGGAAATAATAAAAATCAAAACCGACGAAGGCCTGACATACCCAGAAGCCAAAGAAGCGTACAAGAGTAGAGTGACAAAATCTAAGGGTACGTATGCAAATGCACTGCAACAAAGATTGACCGAAGCCCAAGCGAAAAATGACGAAATTATCGCACTGACCAATCTTGTCAAACAAAAGGATGAAGCTAATAAATTACTGCTAAATGAAAACCAGGAGCTACGAAAACAAGTTACAGAACTTCAACAAACATTGAACCAAGTGCTGGAAGGTCAAAAGAGGTTACAGGAACAATTCAGGCAGCATGTCCAACAAAGTCAGCAGCATAATCAAGAGAAAAATCTACGTGACCAATCACAGTCAAAGAAACAAATCCCGGAACAGCCGTCAGGAACAAACTCCACAGAGAACCATCGTATGTCGACTAGGTCACAAAAGCGAAGCGAACTGCAAAGTAACAATAAGGATGCCGAAAAAGATTCACAGAATGCACATAAGAAAAGAACCGTTCCCAAGCTTTCCGGAAAACCTCCAAAACTTCACAAAAGTGAAGAACTGAATTTATCATTCAGCAACGACGAAAGCGACACTACTCTACATACTAACGCAACTGACGATTTGTCTATGAGAAACTTTTCAGACGATGAAATGGCTGAGATAGACAGTTAGACAGCCTAAACCACGTGTGAACCAAGCTATACATGACCCCTGGCAACACCAATGGAATGACCCTACCTATCACTACGTAACTATTTATGGATCTGACACAAAATCATCAAACAACAAATGAAGAAATCGATCTGGAATTTCGTAACAGTGCCACTCTTCCCGAAATGCATGCCAACGATACGTTTCTTCAATTTGGAGGGGAAGAGATGAAAGTAGCCCCTCCACTGCCTGAACAGGCAGAGGTCGTACCGGGGATAGTAGACAAGGCCGTCAATAAACTAACGTCTCATCCCATCTCCGGTCTTCCTGTTGAAGCCATCGATAATACATCAGCTCAGAGGACTTTTGGAACGACTGCAGAACCACATCAACCACATCTACCAATAAACAGTATTGTGAGCCAACCAATAGGAAAGCAGCCGAACAACCTTCACACCACAAAAACAAACGAAGCAGCAGATTCGCCAAGCGCGAGGCCTTCCACGTCGACCCTGACCAGGGATGTTCCGGGCTTACCCGATGAGCCCCTGGCGGCAGTCGACGTGGATCGTACTACCCCCAAGGCAAGTACCATTTCAAATTCAATACCCCCCAGTCAACCCTTCACCACTACCGCGTCACCCTTTCCTGGTTTCAGCTATTCGAACAACCTTCACCTTAGAAGTGGTGCCTACGCTGCAAACTCGGGAAGAAACAATGAGGATAATCCCACAAAACGTTGCATCGCGGTACAATGGAATGTCAACGGCCTTAAGGAACGTTATGCAGAGTTGCAGCTAATTGTCGCTGAATATCTTCCTACTGTGATCGCCGTACAGGAGACACGACTCACCAAAGTACAGATTATGAACAAATTCCATCGTGCCGAGTATAAGTGGTCAATCCGACCAGGACCTTCTTCCAGCTCACAGAACGGAGTAGGACTCGCTGTCCATCACACAGTCCCGCATAAATTTCTTCGAGTGAACGCAGATTTACAAGCGGTAGCTGCCCAAGTGGATCACCCAATCAAAGCCACGTACGCATCAGTCTACATTCCATGC